GTGTACTCTGCTACATGTGCTGCAGAGCGTGCTGAGAGAATTGTAAAGAATGGAGTCAGAGTTAACCAGTAATCAGTTGGGCTCCAGTTTAAATATTTGTGAACTGCAAAGATTTAGACAAAACATTCTCCATCCTTATCGTCTGTTTGCTTTCCAGATTCTTTATGCCAATGAAGGTGAAAGCAAAAAAGAGCCAGAATTTCCTGTGGACCCCATCGGAGAGAAGTCCAGCTACATCTGCCACAAAGGCCACGAGTTTATCCCCACGCTTTACCACTTCCCCACCAACTGTGAGGCGTGCACCAAACCTCTGTGGAACATGTTCAAGCCGCCGCCGGCTCTGGAATGCCGGCGCTGCCACATCAAGTGCCACAAGGACCACATGGACAAGAAGGAGGAGATCATTGCCCCCTGCAAAGGTACGATGCTTTAGTACCTTATTTTACCAATCTATGAACTAAAAAGTGAATGTCAATTAGTGCTACAACAGCATTACCGAGCTTTTGATGGTTTAAGACTGACATTTTATTTAGTAAATAAGACATAAAGAGATGATGAAATACTGCTTCTCTTCTATCACCAGTGAACTACGACGTGTCTACAGCCAAGAACCTGCTGCTGCTGGCCGTGTCCCAGGAGGAGCAGCAGAATTGGGTGAGCAAGCTGGTCAAGAAGATTCCTAAGAAGCCTCCACCACCAGAGCACTTCGCACGCTCCTCGCCACGTGCCTCCATGAAGGTTCAGCCCAGCCAGTCCATGAGGAGGCCCAGCCGACAGCTTCCTACCAGCAAGAGCAGGTAGGAGAGCACACGGGGGGAAACAAAACAGCCTTTAGTTTTTGGGGATTGAAACTAATGAGCTTAGTTGTGTTTCAGTTTGTACTCGATGTTATTTAGATAAATTAAAAGTTATACGAAAGGTCCCCAATGAAGCAAAGAACAGGCTGTGGGTTTAATTACACAATAAAGAGAAAGTAAGCTTTTTAAATGCACCATCTGCAGAGTTGAAATGGTATTTCAGGTCAAACCAAACACGTTACATAATCTGTGCGTTGTGGGAGTGATCAGTACTACATTAGTTAGCTCTTAAAAGCCCTAAAACTGATATGATTTGATTAACATAGCATACTCAGACTGGATTTATGTTAATTATTATTGCCGGCAGGACTGTAATGCATCCTGGGAGTTTGTATGTGATCGACTAGAGCTGAACAATTTCAGGAAAATATCTATTTGCGATTTTTCTCACAGATTTTGTGAGAAAACAAACACAAGCAACAAACATAGGAAACAATTTGGGTTTCAAAGGAGACATTTTTGAAAAAAGAGAAAGATTGTATTCAACATTACAAAAGTAACTTTGTGCAGAAATTCATGTGAAGTTGCTTTTTAAAAGAGAATTTTTCTATTTCAGTGACAGTGTAGACTGCAGCTACTCTATTCAGGTGGGATGCAGACCAGAAGTATTGACCCAGCTGTCAAAAACGAATACTGTTTAAGGAGGTATCCCTCTCATTTAGATTACATTGGCAACCCAGATTCTTACTCGACTGCACCACGGAATTACCCAGGAATTAGCCCGATTCTTTAACGCTGTGAGCATTTACACTGGATTTGTAAGATACACTTTTTTTTTTTTTTTAAGTCAAGCCTGAGCTCAATATTTACTGTGTAGTAGTTTTCAAAAGTGTGACTGCCACACAACATGGACTGCATGAAAACAACATTTTAACCCTCTTTCAGAAAAACTACATTACCTTCTGTCTCAAACAAGCATGTTCCCTTCTGTCTGCAAAATATGGACTGTAGGTCAGTGAGTCTCAGTAGTGGTACCGTTTATAATGCTATGTTGTGGTACATTTTACCTTCGTCAAAAACTACAACTACAGCACTTGGCCATATTGCCATTTTAGTAACATCCCCATCAACCGCTTACCCCCTGACAAGACTTTATTTTAAAAACCAGTTTGTGTGTGCAGTAATTGTTACACAACCATCCAAACTAATCTCCCCTTTCAGATTGGAGGACTTCGGTCTTCAGGACTGGCACTGGGCCTTGGATGATATCGAGGATGATTGTTGCTCTATACATTTCTGATGAACACATATGGTAACACTGTGTGCAGTGTGTGCTGTGCAGTGCCTACCACGGAAACAGTTAGAACCGCAATGTTGTTTATATGGCGATAGCTATATAAATCTGAATCTAGGGAAGCTCCTTTTGTCATTTCCACCATTTGATCTGATTTCTGCCTTTTTTTTTAAACGCCCTCAAAAATGTTTCCCTCATTGTGACCTTCCATCCTCTGACCTCAGCCCACGCAGGTCGAACGGCTTCAAAATGAAGCGAGAAGATTCCTGCAGTCACTGGTATAAATGACGAATGCTCCGGTCTTGTTCTTCCTTTGCCCGGATGTTTTCCTGCAAATACTCAATTCCTGAATGTGTGTGTATGTTTCTTTACGAGCTGGTTCTCACTGTGAGGTGGTGGCTGGCTACCTGCAGGTGGTGAATGCACTCTGTATGATGGGCCTTGTGCACGTGGCACGTTGGGAATCTGCTCTCGTAATATTTCAGATCACTTTGCCACTGGGTGTTTGATATAGTGGCAGAATAGTGGACAAAGCTTTGAATATATTAGGTTTATTAGTTAGCTTTTGTGCCATAAAATAATAATAAATAACACCATAAAAAAATAATTATTTTGATTCGAACCTTTGCAAAAGCCAGTATATGCAGTTCTTTCATTCTGTTCTGTCTGTAAATCAGCCCTAGCCTCGATTAGGTAATTGTGAAACAGGGAGACTTTACTTTAAATCATAAGAGATGTCATTAAATATCACTGAATATTTGCTGAACTTAACCTTCCATCTGTTTGTCTCTCCTTCCAGTTAACCTTGCTCTGGAGCGTGGTGCCTCTCCAAGGTGGTGGGGTGTGTTTCCTCCTAAATCAAAGACTATACCAAGCTCCGTTTGCAGATCAGCACACTGAACTCCACATCACTTCTCCACTACCCACCCACTCTGTCCTGCTTCAGCCCGTGAGAGTTACAAAGTCCATTTTCTCTTTTGTTCAACTTGATTCCAGGCACTTACGTCTATCAAGCTCACTTCAACACCTGTGATCTTTTTAAACAAGCTGGGTAGCTTGTAAACATATTAGCTGAAGTCTTCTCTTGGGCCCTTGGCCAGAGTGATTACGTGTCTCGGGGTCACTGGAGGAGCTCGTTGATTGCCCACAGAACAGAGAGCTCTTATAAGCCTGACCATGGCTGGCAAGAAGGGGATACACTTACCTCAACACTTCAATTCAAACAATCACCAGGACACACTGTCTGATTGAAGGACCCAACAGGAAAAATTCTCCTCACCACCTTTGGGGATTCTTGTGGCCAAAAAATGAAAAGACATTCTTGTGTTTAATGACTATGAACAATATGAAGGGTTTAATGGGGAACACTACACTCAGAAGACAGTCAGTTCTGTATTTTGTTGGCTGAATACAGCTGAGGTTGTTTATCCCAGATAGTGTCTGTACTTTCTTTAACATAATGATTGTAGCTTCTTGCTTTCCACAATTCTGCTTTTAGATGCGTGTCTACCAGGGTCAAAGAATCTTGAATAAGATATTTGAGCAAACACGTTTTGACTTCTTGTAAAGTCAGTAAGGTGGGGAGGGGACGCCACGTTCCTCTCGCATTTGAGCAAATAATTCCTTGAGTGCTCTTATTCAGATTTGCGACTCAGACACGCTCTGACTCACCGGTTTGTTGCTGTATGACTACAGTTCTTAGTGAACAGAATCCTGCTCTGAATGGCATTAGATGGAGGGCCAGACATGAGATCCTCGCAATCCCATAATCGTACAAACCTGCACTGTCATTTCTGAGGGTTAATGTTTACTGAATTCAAGGGGTGCACCGTTAATGCTTTTCTGATCCGAGCTCAGCTCCTTTTGTTGTTTTGAATGTACATCTGGGCTTTACCAGAGACGACACACAGGCATTGTATTACGTGTATCCAGATATACTTGACTGAAGCCCCCTTTCATCACCAACTACTCTGCATGCGTTTGCTTTTTCAGGCCCTGCACTTGAGTGCTGTCACCCACAGGCCTCCACCTACTAGCAAATGTTGTTTTATCGTCAGTAGTGACAATGAAAGTGAGGGGAAGTTAACCAGTAAGAAGCAGAAACAATGAAGGTATTCAATCATATCCTGGTCCCATGAGTTAAAATACTGAGCAGCACTATTCCATTGAAAGTTTTTCTAAAAGTGTTTGTCCTGATATTTTTGTATTAAAAGTAACCAAACTCTGAGTTTGGACACATTGTTGTGTGTATGTGGCTTATATAGCAGGTGGAGAGTAAACTATGTGAGTGTGTGTGTGTACCGAGTGCTCTCCTTTAACCAAGAAGCATGTTTTATACATATAAATATACACAGTATATATTTTACATGCCATACAGTGCACATTATATTATTTATACAGCCTTGTCCACTTTGTATTTAAGGGCTCTACATCCAGATTGCATGTTTGCTACCAAACAGCTCTATAATAATAACCACTTCAACAATAAAGACATGGATGTGCCTTTTGGTTTTGGATTATTTCTCTGTCTTAAATTGTTGGGACGCTCTAATTCTGTTGAGGTGCACGAGTTTTTCATGCATGACACTGAAGGGACCACACTGTAAGAAGCAGAAATGTTTGGTTTATTAAAATAGAAAAGGAGTTTGCAAGTATAAAAACTATTCAAAATACAGTATTTCTTATCCTGAGAAGGAAGACCTTCGATATCCTTGGCTTGTGCCGTCCTGTCTAATACTACAATTTTGTATCACTTAAAGAGTGCATTTCTTTGTTCTCACTACAGGTTGTTGCACATTTTTCCAGACTGGAATGTTACATAAGGAAGTATGTGGGTTTAAAAATGAGGTAAAAACTATGTAAAAAAACAAAGCAACAGCATTACAACAGCTGCTGACATAACCGTTGTTGCCCATCAGTTTTATTTTTCAGTACTGCCGGGGTCCAAAGTGATTCAGTAAACTCTGTGGCGTGACACTTCAGCCAGTGTGCTGTCCTTCCAGTCTTAGTCTTCTTTCTTGGAGCTGCTGCTGTGTCTCTGGTAGTGGAGCACCGTGAGCAGCACCCACAGGTTCAGCAGGGTCATCGCGATGAAGCGCACCAGAACTGTGACGAAGGGAAAGATATTATCACAACCAAGATGGCTGGATGGAGACAATGACGCTGAGGGGAATGTAACCGTAAATCAATTCAAATCAGTGGAACTGTAGTTACAAACATTGGTTACAGGTGGATCTGTAATTTGAAATGTGCTGGAGGTCAGCTGGGGTGCCTGCCTCTCTTAAAAAGAGCTGTAAGTTTCATCTGCCACAAATAACTGCAGTGAAACATTCCTCTACTCTGCAGAAAATGTGCTTCTTCAGCACCAAAGAAACAACATTCTGATCTCTCAAGGACCTTCTCTGGTAAATATCTACTTTATTAACCTGTTCACTCAGTGTTTTCATTAGCTAGGAAGCACATCGTGAATGAAATAAGCACTCATTGCCAACATCTCCACCTTGAAGCTGCAACGCACCACTGACTGTCTAAGAAGCACAGATTCAGACGAACAAGGTTTCATATGTAACAAACCTAAGGAGCCAATCCTCTTGCATTGTGGACCTTTTTATATCATTCTTCTTTGGAATTAGTTTCTGTCAGAATTACTCAAATATGACTTTGTAGTGTGGAGCAGGTTTACAGTGTTTGAGCAAAGCTGCAGTTAAGCTGGTGTGCTCGGGCTGTACTGAGTAAGGAGAGGGAGGTCAGGACTTTATGGATCTGCACTTCTAGATAAAGGAATGCAGAGTTACATCTAAGCTATTTTAAGACAAGTAGAGGTTGTTTCCATGGAGAAAAAAAAGTTTAAAGATGTAACTTAAACCATTTCTGCACTGTCCTAGTACCAGAAGAACTCATGATTTAAAAACTAACTCTTCCGATGTCTGTATTTCAGATGAATTTATTGACATCTATCTGTGCATGTAATGCAT